TACCGGCTTGCACTTAAAAGTTTGGGAATTTATAATATATATGAACCTCCGGTTGCAAAGGGTGGTGACGTCAAAAGTCACGTGTAGTCATCAATGATCAATCTCCCAACCCGCCCCCTCCGGTCTGACGAAAAAAAAAATGTCGTTGATGACAACCTGGGGCTCGAACCACCAACCCCACCATCGTAGATATGAAAACGGAACTCTACCGACAAGTACACCGGCTCGCACTTAAAAGTTTGGGAATTTATAATATATATGAACCTCCAGTTTCAAAAGATGGTGACATCAAAAGTCACGTGTCGTCATCAATGATCAATCCCCCAACCCGCCCCCTCCGGTCTGACGAAAAAAAATGTCGCAGATGACAACCTGGGGCTCGAACCACCAATCCCTTGATTGAAAATCTGAGAACGGCACTCTACCGACGAGGCTACTGTCACAAGGTGTGATTTATATTTTTAAATAATGTTTCAATTGTTGTATTTATCATTGGGTTTGTTCAAGTAAGGAGTAATATATAGACTTTCTTTCTTTTTTTGTTTTTTTTTATTATAAAACCCCCACAGCACCGAGAGTGTAGTAAGTTATTCAAACAAAGCGTGCACGGAGTAATGTTATGTAAATTATAAATGCTTGAGTGATTTTGGGTTACAAGGCATACCCAGGTATTTGTGCTGATAGGCACTACCATCTCAGCCTGTGTGATGTGTGCATGGGTAGTCAAACCTGTGTGGTGCTGTACATAATACTGCGTGTATTGTACATAGGGCGTGGCCCTCAAGCCAAGCCAGAGCCAGTTCTCCAAAACTGTAAGTTCATTTTATTAGGTGATATTTACTTTCATTATAAATGGCTTATTTCTTTTTATTATAAGTGAATTGTAATTGATTTCTTTCGGAGGTAGATTTCTCAAGAAACTTGAGTTTGGTTAAGGAAAATTTGAACAAAGAAATTACCCATGATGTACATGCATGGGAGGGAAATACAAATGTAGTGTAATTCGATTCAACTCAGACACATTGAATGGGTTTTAGTGGAAAAGTGTTTGACTTTTTTCTTTAAAGGGCTTTCCCTGTGGGAATAGAGAATTCCTAGGTTCTTGGTGAACCAGATAGCTTGTTCTGTGTGAACAACAGTTAGCCAACTCCCAAGACTCACGGTCTACCGAGAGAGTCAGGAGGAATATTCGGAACCGAGTCCTGTGTGGACCGTCAGGCATCGAGCCAGATTCCAAGGCCCGGAGAGGTCACCCAAGTTCCCCAAGCCCGGAGTTCATCCGCCTTAGTGGGACCGTCAAAGCGCCGGAGGGATGTTGTGAGTGACTGGTGCTCCAAATCGACCACCCGTGTCACAAGTGTGAGCTTTGAACACAGCAAGTCCTTCAAAAGGTTTTGAACAGTGACTGTTTAGGGGGGTGATTACATTTGTTTTGGGGTATTGGAAACGGCCGTATAACACATAATACAGGATCCTTATAATGCCATGATATAGTTGAGTATCCGTCACTCAAAGTATAAGTAATTCATATAGTGGCATAATTCAATTGAAATAATTTGTACATAGTAAATTTCCGTTTGTTTAATTTATTTATTTGTCGTAATTAAATAGTATTTTGTCTTGATCATACACATTTTGCCGTCCGGAGTTTGATTTTCTGTCCTACTGATTTGTCAAATATATCCACTACTGTCCTCCATGGGAAAAACAGACCCATGGTGTGACAGCTACCGGCTCGCACTTACAAAGATGGGAATTTCTAATATATATATCAACCTCCAGTTGCAAAGGGTGGTGATGTCAAATGTCACGTGTCGTCATCATTCCCTTACTCCGCCCCCTCTGACGAAAAAAAAATAAAATGTCGTTGATGACAACCTGGGGCTCGAACCACCAACCCCGCCATTGTAGGTATGAAAACGGAACTCTACCGACGAGTACACCGGCTCGCACTTAAAAGTTTGGGAATTTATAATATATATGAACCTCTATTTTCAAAAGATGGTGACGTCAAAAGTCACGTGTCTTCATCAATCATCCAACCCGCCCCCTCCGGTCTGACGGGGAAAAAAATGTCGCAGAAGACAACCTAGGGCTCGAACCACCAGCCCCTTGATTGAAAATCTGAGAACGGCACGCTACCGATTAGGCTATCGTCTCCCACTTATAAAAGTTGGGAATTACTAATATATATCAACCTCCAGTTGCAAAGGGTGGTGACGTCAAAACTCACGTGTCGTCATCATTCCCTTACTCCGCCCCCTCTGACGAAAAAAATAAATGTCACTCCGCCCCCTCTGACGAAAAAAAAAATGTCGTTGATGACAACCTGGGTTTCGAACCACCAACTCCGCCATTGAAGATATGAAAACGGAACTCTACCGACGAGTACACCGGCTCGCACTTAAAAGTTTGGGAATTTATAATATATATGAACCTCCAGTTTCAAAATATGGTGACGTCAAAAGTCACGTGTCGTCATCAATGATCAATCCCCCAACCCGCCCCCTCCGGTCTGCCGAAAAAAAAATGTCGCAGATGACAACCTGGGGCTCGAACCACCAGCCCCTTGATCGAAAATCTGAGAACGGCACTCTACCGATTTGGCTATCGGATCCTACTTAAAAAGTTGGGAATTTCTAATATATATCAACCTCCAGTTGCAAAGGGTGGTGACGTCAAAAGTCACGTGTCGTCATCAATCCCTCACTCCACCCCCTCCCCTCTGACGAAAAAAAATATATGTTGTAGATGACAATCTGGGACTCGAACCTCCAACCCCTTGATTGAAGATCTGAGAACGGCACTCTACAGACGAGGCTACCGGTTCGCACTTAAAGAGTTAGAAAATTATAATATACATGAACCTCCGGTTGCAAAGGGTGGTGACGTCAAAAGTCACGTATCGTCATCAATCCCCAACACGCCCCCTCCGCTCTGAGGGGAAAAAAAATGTCTGACGACAAAGTTCATTTTGAATCTTTGCAGCACATCAATATCGGAGTCAATATACTTTAACGAAATGGCACATCGAGAATTCCAAATGACTTTCAGAAGTTTTGCTATGAGAATCAGGACAGTAGTAGTGTTGCTTACGTCCCCCCCCCCCCCCGAACCAAGAATTCTATTTGCCAAGTTTTCGTTGGGATAATGCGATGTTCAATTTTATACCAGATGTCTATTTCGTCGTTGTCAAGGTTCTTATTATTTCCCCGTTTCTAAATAGTTGTCAAGTCTAAAGTGGTGCTAATGTTAAGAATTTCTTGCCATTTCTGCTGCGCCCATGGCTCAATAAAATCTTTGATCCGAAAACTGTGATAACAAATTTTAACAGTGAGGTCACAGACAGACATGTTATTTCAAGCCAGTTAGAAACGTGATTTTTAGGTCCAGTACGTTTCTCATTAAACAATACGGGGCAAATAATTTGCGCAACCTATTGAGAACATGACTGGCACTAGTACCTCTGGTGAACAGTGTACCAACCAGTAATTTCACGTGGAGTGAGGAACCGTCCATTGGAATAAACATGCATGGTGCAACAAGGTGAATCCATGAGTTCTAAAACAAATTCTGTCTAATTCTTTATCCTGTTACTAGTAATGATATCATTTTTGAACAAGGGTACTTGTTGAGAAGGCTTCCCGAACACAAGAAAAATTAGGCCAAAAAAAAAATATTCGGTCTCTGGTCAGACCAAAGTTCCGGAATTGACGTGGCCACGCGGCTTTTTTTTTTTTTGCTTTTTTTTCCATCAAGCTTGGATTGTACAGACAAGGTGGGGTACTATTTTGCTTTTTTGGTGTCCTCATGTACATTGGTGTCCTCCATAATTTGCCTTGGTGCTTTCGATCATTTGCCTTGGTGCAATTTCCCATTCATTGGTGCTCTTTGGTAAAAAAAAAAATTAGGAGGTGTGGAAATAGAGGGCGCTGTTGGAGCTACCGCGGAACATTTTGGGAAAAAAAAGATCGACGCGCATGATTAAAATCGACGCGCGCGCTGAACAGAGACCGACTTATTTTTTTGTTTTGGCCATACAGTAATATCCCACCAGACTTATCGAACGCTTTCATGACTTCCAGGTAAAACAAATGTTTTACAATTGTTGAACACATACCAGCCTAATCGATTGGGCCCGCTGGCTTCACAAATCCAAAAGTTAAACCAAGAACACACCACGTGCCAGACGCTTTAGAAAAGTTAGCTAACCATTTCAGTTTGCAGCTGTGTATTTTAGCTTGAACGTTCAAAAGAGGAGCCTTAATGTTGTCTCTTTTCACTTTCTCTGGCTTAGAATTCCAATAGAAATTGAAGTTTTGAAGATAATGGAGTCCATTTCCTTAACCCATTTATCAGGACACGGGAGGATGCTGTCGAAGTAAGACAGACCAGATCCAAAAAGACTATTTATTGACTATATTTTTTCTGTTTTGTATTCTATTCTATTATTCGTCGCTCCGTCTATCTAAAAGCCGGTTAAAGCCGCTATTGCCTTGGCGAAAGGCTAGGTTCGACCGTTATTCGAATCCTTTCGCATCAGCAACGCCCTCCCCAACGATGCAGCGGAGTCTTTCCGAAGTCGGCCATAAACAGAACCGTGAAGGAAGTTGTCTCAAGGACGATGGAAAAACTGACCAAAAAATCAGTGTTGAATTCAGAAATGTAAAGACATTCACGCCCTCCCTGGCTTTTCCCCGCCCACCTAACTCTAGGAAAATCCACAACAACTGTAAAGTAAATCTTTTTCTACTTTTTAATTTTTTTTGAAATACTTTCCCCTATTTTATGCATTGAACATTCCTTGTCATCACATATACAGGTACATTTCACGTGCTGAAAGGTAGAAAGGATAAAAAAAATGAGTTCCGATGTTACACCCCCCTCCCCCAGCCTCCGCCCAGTACCCGCCCCAATAATGTACATCTCGCGTCGTGTGTACTTCCTTACTTAGCTGGTTCGCTGCAAATGCACACACTATTATACAACCCGTCCAAATTGTCGCTGGTAACCCTAAACATACTCCAATGGTGATGGTTGTGTCGGTCGTCAGGCTTTTTCTTCCTCCGTGAGAAGAGAAGTTTCTTTCTTTCACTTAAGACTGCTTTGTTCCTAACCTACCATTTGACGTCGAGCCCAATTCGTAAGTAATTAAATCTAGAAATTACCAGATACAAGCAAACGAACAAGGGTATAACATGAATTGGCGAATATTATTAAAAGGGACGGGACCATTATCTATTGTGTTTACATTGAGTACAGTGTATTTGACATGCCGATGTCGTGTGCTCATTTCTCGGTACACTGCCGACTGCGGAGTTCTCTCCATTCAATGTTCATGAGCCTGCTGGTTCGGCGCCACTGTTGTCTGGCTGCCCTAGGCATGCCAGGCCATTCTGCGACGAGAACACCCCTGGAGGATGGTGCAACATTATATGAAAAACTAGTATTTTGTATATGCAATGGATATTTTGCTAGGCTTTTAAACCTGAAAAAAAATATAGTCTGTGTAGTGTGTTGTAGACAGTTTTTACTTGAGGGTCGGGTATTTTTTTTAAGCAAATGAGCATAGCCATAGCATAGGGGCCTATATCTCAGCATCGCTTTATTTTTACGGAAGTCTTAATGCATTTTTCAACAGCTATAGTTACAGAATCGCAGCATAACATGGCAAGTCTGTATGAGGGTTTAAATTCCTTCAGTGATTGATTCGTTTTGATAGAACTTTACATTGATTGATTTTGAGTCTATTTACCCGAAGACGGCCCTTGGTGTTGTTTACAACGCCACGTTCATGGGTCTAAGCTCTAACTTAAATCAAAAGGATTTTTTTTAAAGGGAAGTACATGTACATGTAAATGCTGAGAAACATTTAGATGACATCTGACACATGTATGCACAATGGTTAACTTCTGTAAACATAGCACCAGTATAAATCCCCTGGTGTGCGTGCGTCACACACAACGGTGCGGGCACGTCAACCAGCGAAATGTATTTGTCCCGCCCATGGGACGTCGTTGCTAGGTAAAAGGGCGCCCTCTTTTTTTGGCGCATGGAATCCATAGGCCTGTACTTTGAAGCAGGTTATTGAAAAAATGCACCTGTTGAAATTTTCGCTTAAAGTAAAAAAACAATAGGTTTCATTTAAAGTTCAGGTTTTTAGAAAACTGTGAAAATGCATCCTTTTCTCTTTTTTTTCCCGGTGCAAAGCATAGTTTTTTGTTGAAAGCGCGATGGTTTGGTCCTTGCCATCATGAGGAATCGATAAAAAATTCTACTTTTCTCGAAAATGATGTCATACAGTAATAGGCGCAATGTGAAAGCATGATCTTATTATTTACTCATAATCAAGCTTTTGATGTGCATGCACACTGCACAGTAGTACATACAGTCATTCAGACACTAAGCCAGGACAGACCGGTACAAATGTCAGACTTCCCATCACAACTTCTCCTATTAATGAATTCAATCTGTCACCACAGATTTACCAGCTTTATGAACCACACAGAATGCCTGGCAGTTGGCACCAGCGTGCATTGTCCAATGGTTGGTGGTGTCATCACAGACTAGAGAGCATTACCAACACCAGACAGGGCTCTGGAGTGCTCTGAAACGTGCAAAACTAAATCAGGCCCACTTTAACCACACTTTAGCCAGCAAATTTCTCCAAAAATTCCACTGGGGCAAAGAAAATGTCCTCAGTATTTCACCAACCAAGTTTGCAGACTCAATTCAATTTTTAAAGGAGACTTTTCTTCAATATTTTGCACATGAGAGGGAAGTCAAGTGATTCCAAATGGGGCTAAAGACTAGACTGGTACATGTCCAACCATGGTCCAACTATTTGGAAAGACTGACCTCTTCATTCAGTGTCTATAGTCTGGCGGCTTTACTATGGCGAAATGTGTAGTAAATTGAGACTAGTTCCCGCTTCATGCCACATGTTTCTTAAATTCTTTTGGCATGGTTGATTGATGCAGTACTGAAAGCTGTGTTGGACTGGTTGTTTTAGGTGCCAGTCTATTTTCATTTTTTGCATGTTTTCAATACAGGTTTTGGGACTCTCATACACAGTATTGAGAGTCCCAAATTTTCGGACTATACCAACACCATAATATGGTAGTGCAGTACATTTTGCTGTACACCGAGATGATTCTAATGTAATTAATATTTCTGTTTTTTCCTGCCTGACTTGAAAAGAAATTACTGCTCAGTATGGCCCCTTGCATGCTTGTGATGCTACAATGTTTGAGTTGATATGAGCTACCGGTACACTAAAGAAGGTGGATGTATTTTGTAGATTTTTATAAAATTTGTTTATTTATTTTGATTAAAAAATGTTCCTGATCAGCAGCACTATATCAGCCTGAGATGTCTTTATTTTCATAATGCACAGAATATGACATTGGTAATGAGCTGATTATAACTGTGATCGTATTAAATGATAAAATTCGGAAAGATTGTAGTATCCAGACACCAAACGCCACTTTTTTGGTTGTGTACAAAGTCTATGGAGAGTCCAGTGAATTTTCTAACAAAATATGAAGTTTTCTCAGTCCCCGATTCATTTTTTTTAAACGAAATTTGAGCAATAACTGACCTTCATTGAGATAATAGGATTATATGATGAAAAAAGTGGTGTCAGGATGCAACATTCTTTCCTAAAAATTTTTGTAAATGTTTTGCATCCACAGGTGCTACTATTGTGAATCGGTAGAAAAATATATCATTGATTGATCTTCATCACGACTGCTAAATTTCCCCATCTGCTGTCTACTGGTATTTCTGATTCTGTAAAAAACAAGTACAAGGATACAGAACAAAGACATGGACATGGTGCATTGTGCAAAGCAATCTATTGGAATTCCCAGAGAAGCAAAATTTACATCTAGAACTCAAAGTTCAATATTTGCCTTGATTGTTGTTGTAAAGCAAGTACATGTATTTGGAATTCCCAGAGAAATAAAATAGAACTGAAATCTGTTTGCAGATGATCAGAGTCCAAGCATGGTCTTAGCCTATTTCTGCATAAATGTACCTTGTACATAATGTACAGTACTTACATGTACAATAAAAACAGTCATGCATGCATGATAGTCATAATACAGCCACCTTCCATGTATTTAAGAGAATAAGATATAAAAAAGGAATGAGATTATCATTTTTAAAGGGTCCATGATACATGTACATGTATTTTTCTTATTGTGATCATATATTTTGCAACTTTCTACATGTGTTCTCCTGTTAAACGCATGAAAACTTTTTGACATCCATTTTTTGATTCTTTTATTCAAAAGTGCTTTAAACATAAAACTAATGTCCATGTTTTGCAGACAACAGAGGGGGCTGTTGCTGTGATGTCATTTCAGGAAGACACTGTTCAGGTTAGGGTTTTTCTTTCTTCAAATTGTGAGCCCCAAAATGTGCTCATTGAAAACATTTGTGAGAAAAGTGTGCTCATTGGCTTACTGCCATGTACTGACAACAAATTACGAAAGAAAAGACAACAAAATATCCAAAATTCTGGCAACTGTTGGTGTTGAAATAGAGCTCTGTACCGAATCATTGAGGTTTCTGCATGAAATGATATATCACACTTTTGCTCATGAATTTAGTAAATTTGCATCAGCATAAAAACCAGAAAGGCACCAAAATACCATTGAAAATGGCAAAACGAAAATTGAAAATAAGGACAAAGTGGTATATTTTCAAGGATTGCATTAAATAAATTACATTGCATATAATAAATATAAAAGTGTGTTTTCATTTGTGCATGCACATTCACATTGTACATTTTGTTCATGTTCAAACCTACATACATACATTGTTAAAACATTCATGATTTGTGTAAGTTTATGAACAAACCATTACCCGAGTACTGGTACAACGGTACAAAAATTTCAAACAAATTTGCGGAGTTCATGTACCATACATGTACATGTAATACCAAACTGTATCAGTAACTACACCAGCACTGCACATGTTGCGTGACCTTTCATAAAGGTCATGCACTTCTCATGTACCTTGGATGTGTTAGCAGGCTGGTGACTCATTTCAAAGCTGCACACTGTGTCTGACTTCCAAGTAATCTGTCCTGTTTGCTCTGTACAATCAGTCCTGACACATATCAGTTGGAATTATTAGACCAATTTATTGAACATAACCTCTTGCATTATCATGTAGTGTCACTTCTTACCACGTCTCGTTTCTCAAAAAAAGAAAAACAAATAGGAGTACAAACCTCTATTCTGTAAAAGCAAGAACGTACACCCGTTGCTGTACTTCCGTGCGCTAAATGCATTTAGGATGGTGGGAAGTTAGGGAACTTTTCCTCACTTAGGAAAAGGATATGAATAAGCACTGTGTGAAATAGCACTAGTATGTACCGGTACAAAGAAATTTGGTCGAAACAAGCACGGTTTTCTGGAAACACTGTAGACGCTGCTTTTGACTCCCCAGAGAGTACTGTGCAATTGTACATGCCTGCACAATGTTACAGGTCTAGTTCTGGGCAGTAATCAGTCTTGAAGATGTACATTTACCTGAATGTTTTCCAGGCTGTCATCGGATTTTGTGTCAACAGGATCCCTTTAATTACATGCTAATTAAATAGTTCCTACTTCGGACTCTTTTTCCCCTCTATTTCGCATGGGGCTCTGATGGACCAGGCTAAGGAACTGACAACCATGAGTTGTCCAGCGACGACCAGCAGCAAAGCTCGCAGCCACACGCCCACCACCAACCAGGACTTGGCGGGGCTGTTTGAGTGCCCGGTGTGCTTTGACTATGTCCTGCCGCCCATACTGCAGTGTCAGAGTGGCCATCTTGTCTGCTCCAGTTGCAGACCCAAGCTTAACTGTTGCCCTACCTGTCGTGGGCCTCTCGGTGAGTAGACACACATAGAATTTTTTTTTAAATGTTGAATGTTGATCACATGTTACCGGTATGTCAGTTACGTTTTCATACTAAATCTCATTGCATAAGTACCTGTGTTTCAAATTTCCCCACCCAACCTAGAAAATTGAGAAGAACCTAAAATGTTTATTATGATGCTGCCCCACCCTAGTTTTGTGGACATCACCCTGCCTTTTTTTCTTTCTTTTTTGTAAGTTGGTCGGCAGTGCAGTCTATTTCCCAGGGAAGTACATGTATGCAGAATGAACAGTTTTAATTCACATGTTAGCTGTTATCAGATTATGAATGCTAACACAAATTTATAAACAAGCATACCACCTATTTTTTTCTGGCTTTAAAGGGAATATACAACATTTGCAAACATCGAAAAAATAAAACTACCAAGGTTTTACGAAATACCTTACTAGGATGTTGGTAAATGACAGTCTAAAGCATCCTGTAAAGTTATGGCACCTGGTGTTAAGTCATTTTCAAGAAAATGGTATTTTTGTATACATTTCGGCCGACCACCGTTGGAAAAGCTTAACTATTTTTCAACTACTGCTCCAACTTTACACTTTTTTCAGTCCAAATTTTGTTTGCTATTGGTTACATGTTCATGAACGGGTGCAGGCCAGCTAGACTGGTTCCCTTACCTTACAATTTTCCGGCATCTATAAATTGATCCATTTTATCTTTAGTGGAGTTAAGGAACCAGACTACTTGAACATTTTTGGTTTTCTTGGTTTTTCCAGCATTTGCGAACAAAAAACTTCAAACATGTCAGTGTAACAATATTTGATCTATTATACTGAAAATTATTATTTCTGAAAATTACAGCAAAAGCCAATGATGTACATTCCCTTTAAAACTTTAGAGATTTTACACACCCACCCAACCTAATTTTGTATTTAATGTAATCGGAAACACATATTTTTTTTTTCATAGCCTTAGTGTTGCTTTTCCTTCATTTATCTTTCAATTTCGTTTCATATTGATACAGATTTACTTACAACGTTCATACTTCGACGAATGCTCTCTCATTTGTATGACTGTTTTCGAACACAATAGTTTCCTGAAACTTAGGGGCTAAGTTCACGGCCATGTTATGCCGATATTATTTGGCTTATGGAATAGTCATGAATCCATTTCATAGAGACCGCAAGCAAAAATAACACGCCCCCACCAGCAGATTTGTTGAATGCAAATTTTAAGCTGTAAAAGCATGCAGGACTGATGTAAAGATATCTAAACAGGAAATGTTTGAATGGGAGAGATGGGCAAAATAAGATTAAGCCACGAGTAGAATGGAAAAATTAATACTGCTGGAAATTAGGGATAGTGGTGGGTTGCTTTGGGTATTGTGTATTGCTAATTTGATTTAACTTTTTTTCCAAAAATGTTCAGAAATGGATGTTATCTTGAACTTGAGTCCTGAAAATAAGTCAGTTCTTGTTAAAAGAGGAAGATTCATGTTTTGGGTGCAGTGTGTAGGACTTTGAATTGAGAATGAAAACGAATACTTGTAAGCCAGACTGTTGAAAATGGCCAGGTCTTTATGACCTCCCTCGAAATATGGGGCACACAAATCCTTTAAAAATGCACTCTCATTATGTATGTATACATGTCGCACACACTTTTCCCATTACACCCTTTACGATTTTGTATTCTTCTGAATCCAACAGAATCCACATGTCAGGCCTACGTTGTGTTTCGTCCACTGCTCTGAACAAAAACCACCAGAATTTACCCACTGTTTATTGCTGAATCAATATTTAAAACCAATTTCCATTTCATGTTTTTTTCCCCCCACAAATCAAACTGAAACTAGCCACAGTTGTGTCAGGGTTATTTCCAAAGAAATAATAATTAAAGCCAGTTAAATTTTGTTCGAATTCCATTGTTTTCAATTTTGCTTGGAAAGATTAACCCTAACCACCCCAACTCCATCGAAATCCATCTCCCCATTTTGGTGGATTTTGGGGGACTTGGTCCTGCAGGCATGGTTTGACTAAATATTGATGGAGTATGATGGACTTGGGCCTGGAGGCCTAAAGCAAAGCATGCATTGGAAGCAGTGTGATTGATGGATTTTGGCAGACTTGGTCCAGGACTTAGTAAAAGAGAGTAGGGCATTGTGGTTAAACCAATGGCGTTTTCTGCATGCTTGGACATTCCTGTGTAAATATACCAAACTCTATAGTTCATCAAAACACTGCAAGGCCTTGAAGTGAATTTTGAATAGATTCATGTTTAATACAAGATTGTCCATCTTTGTGTGTGTGTGTCTCCTTGCAGGCAGCATACGCAACCTAGCCATGGAGAAGGTGGCCCAGACGGTCATGTTCCCCTGCAAGTATTCCTCCTCAGGATGCATGGCCACCATGTCCTACACAGAGAAGCCAGAGCATGAGGAGACATGCGAGTTCCGGCCCTACTCCTGCCCCTGTCCCGGGGCCTCCTGTAAGTGGCAGGGGTCGCTGGAGCGGGTCATGCCCCACCTCAACCATGCGCACAAGAGCATCACTACACTACAAGGTGAGATAACTTGGGTTTTTACACATTCCAGTGTTCTTGACTTGTGATTGGTTCATTACCAGTCATTACAAACCAATTCCTAATCATAAGTCAATCTTAAGTCGTTCCTTCAGAAGTCAAGAGTGCGAGCTATGAGAATGAATTGTGATAAAGGTATCCCTCTGTCATTATTCATCCCGTATAACTTGTGGCTGGACTTGTGACTTGGGTTTTGATTGGGTGATGATGATAATTAGATATCCCTGCCTCCGTTGGTAATTGTCAGAATTTGGTGTTCCTCTTGATTACAGTTCATTCATACAAACCTCTCCTTATAATTAGTTACTCCACACCACCTCTGTACTATAAAGCGCAAAGGGTGTGTGTGAGTTGTTTCTGCATTCAATAGGGGACGTTGAACAATAGAGGACTATAGGGTCCCCAATTCCCAAGAAGTCCCCAATTTGGATTCGTGTACAAAACATATGGGAGGTGTTCCGAAAAAGTTGAAGTACAAACAAAAGAGGGACAATATGGGGTCCCTAATTGCAGGCAAAATACACACTTGTGTGTGTGTTCGTGTTTATAGTGTAAATCGAGGACACACTCGTGCCACATCATCAATAAATCGAGGACAGGAACCAAATCGAGGACGACCTCGATTAGAAAACGTGTACAAAACCAATGAGAGCTGTTGCAAAAAAGTTAGAGTGTAAAGAAAGGAAAAGGAAAGAGGAACAAAAGAAAATCCTTGATATACACCATAAACAAATGTGCTAGGGTATGTGGGTGTATTCACAAGTTCACGAGTTGTTGAAAGGGTGAAGCCTCCTCCCACGTGAAGCTAACAGACAAAGCCTCGTATCGTTATGCACACTTTTCCCAAGTTGCACTCTTCATTGGGCAAAGCCTCAAATGGTATTGAGTGTTTTTCTTTCAATAATGTTGTTTTCTTCAAATTTTTGAAACATTTTGTTGATTTACTCTAACCTCATGCACTTTGTGAATGGTTTTCAGCCTCAACAGCTGGGTCGTTCTATGAATTTAGGGTCCAAGGTGTGACATTTTCCCTGTCCCAGATTCCTTTGATCTTTCCAAGTTTATTACTGACTCAGTTCTCTATGATTTTCTCAATTTGTCCAGAAGAACATATTGATACATGAACAAAACAAGTGCAGTTTAACTGCATTGTTTAAATACCTGAAATCTGACAAATAAACCCATCAACTTACATACATGTACCGGTACTTTGTTGAATTACACATTGCATTGTAGGTCAGTACATGTACAAACCAATGTCATTGCTGGTTTAATGAAATTCATTTCCACAGCAGTTTCATCTGATAGAGGTCACATAAACTAGGGCAGAACAAAATATTCCATACTGTCATGACATGTGGAAAACAAATTAGAAAAAAATATCCTTGCCAAATTGCTCCAGCATGTACATGTACTATTCATATTGAAGTTTATTCATGCAGTGATGAGTGTTTTTGCATTGTGATTATTTTCATTCATCTATCTGGGAGCTGTGCTTGTAAGGCAGTGCCGCTACAATATTCCACATGTCCAATCTCTCAGGATTGTTCAGTTGCAAATACACTTTTGTGTGTGAGTAATGATGAATGGTTCAGCTGCAGTAGGCACATGTGACTCTCATTTTACGTCACAAGACCATTGAGATCTATATGAACAGGTACATGTATGTGTCGATGGTACATGTATGTTAACAAGAAAATCCATTCTAAATGATACATGTACATGTACATGTACATGAAGATCAGCCTTTCCAAAATGGATGTTGAAAACTCTTTCATTTTCTTCATAGAATATCTAGTTTTGTGGTTAACTAAGTTAAAGGGGCTGTACACATTTATATTGTTAATATTTGAGTCCAGGTTTGTTAACCTTAAAGTTGCTGTACCCATGTTATTCAATGTACATGTACATGTATTCAATTTATTTTCTCTTAACAAATTTTCAATTGGGATTTTTTTTTAAACCCCCCCCCCCCCAAAAAAAAACAAACCGGTTTCCTTTTTTTCTGATAAGGGCATTTAAAATTCTCTGAAAATACACTTTTATTTGTGGTTGCTTTTGAGCCCATAATGCACAAAAAGATAGCTTCAATATTGTTAGGATGCAAATACATGTACCGTAATTCACGATTTGTAAACCAAATTTTCCATAAGAAAATTTGGGTTGATTTCTTTGTTTGATTTTTCATTCACATGTAGATAACTTATTTATTGCTGGGAAATAGCAAAATAACACAATCTTTTTTTCCGGTGTGACACTCGAAAATAGCTCAAGGAAGTCAACATTAAGTACACTGTGGCATTGTGGTTGGTAACACAAACAAATATTGGCAATAACCCAGTGAAACATTCTTTGTATTTGAAAAAAAAAGGATCCTTGTAAATTTAACAGTGACTGGGTCCTCCAGTAATATGCATCGGGTCAGGGTGACCAGGCCAAACCGACAGGAAACAATATGGGTCAGTCCACCGGGTTGGCATGGTTGGGAAGCAGTGCATGACATCCATATATTTGGTTATATTATTAAAAGTATCAATGCATTCTAAACAATTGCTTCACATAATATTTGTCTTAGGGTGTTTCAATATTTGAGAAAGTTTGAAATCATTTGAAAGTACTTTGACAAAAATATGAGCAAAAATGTATTAATTCGGACGTAACATTGACACCGTGTCAATGTCACATCCAAAAAAATCCTCTTTTTTTGCCATATTTTACTCGTATGTAAAATATTACCCAAACTGACACCTACGTGTAAGCACCAAGAAAAGCTTTTGTTTTGTATAGTCAGGGTTCAAATATAGCAGAAACAATACCTCAAGTGTGGATGTAACGGTGTAAAAATCACTCAATGGAAGTGTGACATTTGGGTTTTACACCGTGTAAATGTTAAATGTTACGTCCGCACAACCAAGCTATCATTTCTGCTCCATTTGATGTCTGACTACCATAATAAAAGCTTTTCTTATTGTGTTGCATCTATAGTACGGTAAGAAGTACGCAAAGTAAATTTGGGTAATGTTTCGCAGAAATTTAAAAACAGGTACAAATGTCATATTTGGATGTCACACTGACACGGCGTCAATGTTACGTCCAAACTGATATTTTTGGCAAAATACATTGAAATGATTTCAAACTTTCTGCAGTAGTGAAACACCCAACAACAAATATTATGTAGAGCAACTGCTAGCAAGGCATTCATGCTTTTCTTAATATGGTCATATGTCACACTTTGTTCCCCAACCCGGTGGAATGACCTATACATACATGTATATGTAAACCGAATCCGAACCAAAACTGATATGAACTCCCCAAATCTGACCTGACCCAACCCGACTCAACAAAAATTCAAGGGAAACAGACCCAAACCCACCCCAAAACCCACCGACCCGAGAAAAAAAAATGGATATCTGCCTTGGGCAACCGTCTCCGCTTTTTGTGCCTGAACTTACCGGTACATGTACAAGTGTCGAGTGAAAATTGCCATCTCTCAGTAAAGAATCAAACTGTAGGGTGTGGTGAAGACCAATAACGTTGCCTACTGGTGGTGCCAACACGTTATAGACTCTGCATGATAGACCGCAAACCATATGCGCATTTGTGCGATGGGTTGATGTTGGACGTACCAGGCATAGTAACTCTGCAATAATATTGCACCGTGTGAATTTCTGAACTGTTTCGGGGGTATTTTTTGGTTTATTTCAGGTTTTTTTCACAAGATGGCTTAACCGACCCGAATCAAAAATCGCAAATGCAAAACTGAAACCATTCCGACCCAACTGAAATGATGGAAAAACTGACCCAACCCGACCTGAAGTCGGTTTTGTGTCGGGTCGGTTTCGGTTTCGACTCTGGTTTGCACGACGTTATCCTGCAGTACTTAGTTCCTCAAAATATTACAAAGCCTGTCACGCCTGTGTGTAGATTTTGATGAATTTACATATGTAGGGTACAGTTTCAGAAGTTGCATATAGATGTTGGAAAAGAAATTGGTACGTGTTTTGGTGTTGAATTTATTCTGAAATCTTTGCTACCCTTTTTTTTCTTCCCTAGGTGAAGACATAGTATTCCTTGCCACAGACATCAACCTTCCAGGGGCCGTTGACTGGGTCATGATGCAGAGCTGTTTCGGCAACCACTTCATGTTGGTCTTAGAGAAGCAGGAAAAGTTTGACGGCCTTCAGCAGTTCTTTGCCATCGTCCAACTCATCGGCACCCGCAAACAAGCCGAGAACTTCGCATACAGGTTCGTTCATAGGTTTTCCCCCAAACATTGGCATTTTTCTTAGTCTTCGATCTCTTCTGTGGGCATATATATACAAAATATTTGCTTCATGTAATAGTATTTGAGGTTCTTGAAGTAGAAATGACCTATATCGAACCAGACTATTTTAAAGGCACCTAGGAACATTGGTAATTACCCTGAAACAATACTTCTGATTTAGTGAGAAAAACCTTGCTAAAAGTGAAGAAGAAAGGACTAGCACCAAATACCCTGTGAAATTATTCCACCAGAAATGGTATAGTTCAGAAGAACACAATCATTGAAAGTGTGCCTGCGGATGTGAGTAAAAAATGAAACAGCATGTTTAGAATCGGAAGTGCTAGCAATGGGAATCCACTTACAAGACAAAAAACGTGTGCAAAGGTGGTGTCTGTTTTCTAAAAATGAATAGTATCCATGGACCTGAAACTTCAACAGGTTAGTTGTTGCGCATCCTACTTAAGATTTCATAGAAAAAACATTTTTTTGAAACGAAAAAAAAAATGCACAAAATGCATATTATTCTACATGTGTGTAGCTCAATCACCGCATTTAAAAAAAAAAAGGTTTTGGTAATTCTTTCAGGACTAGAATTTCTTCAGCCACTAGCCTCATAGTTTCACCCTTTTTTTGGGGGGGGGGGCAAGAATTCTATAATTTCCAAGCCTTAAACAATGTCTCTGCCATTCGTTTCCATTTCTCCTGACTGCTTAGACTGGAACTGAACGGCCACAGAAGGCGACTGTCCTGGGAGGCCACACCCCGCTCCATCCATGAAGGCGTAGCGGCCGCCATCATGAACAGCGACTGTCTTGTCTTTGACTCCAGCATTGCCCAGCTGTTTGCCGAGAACGGAAACCTGGGCATCAACGTGACCATCTCCATGTGCTGAGCAGTGCCAAAGATCACAAACTTGATTAAGAAAAGGAACACGATGGGGATGCCTTTTTCTTTTTGGAGATGGAAAGCCGGAAGGACGGAGAGTGAGTGCCGCTTGACTAGCGTTGCTCACTAAATGAGTGTTACCATCTTGACTGAGGGGTTGTGATTAATCTTCAGCACGGCTTTCATATACTTCAAACTCACCTTGAGAGACCAAACGATCGGATCTGTGGATTTGACAGACTGGAATGCTCAATTATGGCAGGTGTTTTTATAAACCAGTTTCCATCAACAAGCTGACCCAAAGCCTGGAGGAGGAATTGCCAAAAACATAAGTGTCGACATGTATATGTGTGGTTCTTTTCTTACAGGTGCTTCAGTGCATTGTATGGTAGCAGATGTTGCTACTTCTTTAGTAAGCATTGAGGAAATGCTGTAAAGAGTCATCAAAGGTTAACCCAACGCTCATTATTTACTGTTTAACAGTGTGATATTATGGGAATAAATTGTTACTTCGAGGAGAGAGTAGCCCAGGTGTACTTGAATGAGATTCCACGCTGGCTTATCACAGTGTACACAATAGCCATCGGCATGCTGAAATCTGAATTTTTTTTCCCCAGAGTTTGGATAATACATGTTTGTGCAAGGAATTGTATGAAACAGCTTGAAAAAAAAACTTGAGTTTCCTATTGCAAGGAATGCACTTGGAAGAAAGACGAAAAGCAAGGAACAAACATCTTAAAACTGAGAAAGCTCTTAAAAGGAAAAGTGCATCCTTATACTGAGTTTTGATTTTTGAAACGGTACCCTCCTTCTACTAGAACCTTGAAAACCAAAACGCTTTTGGTTTTACATTGCTGTATATGAGACATAGCTGTATATGAATTTAAAAAACTTAACATGCAGCCACCATCCTTGTCTGGCACCTGACGTCGTGATGAAGAAACACTATATGAGGCAAGTCCCACACCATCAGTTCCAGTCTACATGTATATTTCATGATAGGAGCCTCATTTCAATTCTGCATGACTTAAGTATACATGGCAGATAAAAGCGGTTAGTGTACACCACAAAACAACCCCAACCATCTTTCAGGGTCACTTTACCATAAAATGTGAAAACCCCCAAAAAGTAACCCTTCACATTTTAAGAGACTTCACCAACAAGACTGCCGATCATTTGTGCAGATTAACTGGCAATACAGTCATGGTTCAAGAATGGATTTAGATTCTATTCCCCTAAAACAGACGCTCTTCAACTCCTCATGGGCAAGCTTCCAGAGGCTTGTCACCAGTTCTTGCTTACCGTCAGTGTTAAAAAGACCGAAGTTCTCGCACAAGCTGCCATACATGTACCTCCAGAAATCAAGCTACACATGTAAATGGAATACCACTGAGCAACGTCCAAAATCTGGGTTCAACTATGGCTGAGACTCTCTTATTAGATGACAAAATAAATGCAAAGAATTGGGAAGGCAGCTACTGCTTTCGGAAAACTCACCAAGAGAACATGGGAAAACTCCAAGCTGACAACCCGCACAAAAGGCTTGATTTATCAAGCCTGTGTACTGAGTATTTTGCTTTATGGGTCCAAAACGTAGACAGTATATATGCAAGATGGGAGAAGAAACTCAACACCTTCCATCTGTGATGTCTAGGCAAAGTTCTAAAGATCAAGTGGCAAGACAAAGTCACCAACGTTGAAGTCCTATAGCCTGCTCATCTCCCTAGTCTCATGACCATCCCCATCAGAAAAAAATCTTGCTAGGATTGGCCAACTTTGGGGAATGGATGACACTTGCCTTCCAAAGCAGATCCTTTTTGGTGAGTTTGCAGACATTTCTCGACCAAGAGTTCATCCGAAACTCAAGAGATGTTGGCAAAAGCGACATGAACAAGTTTGAAATCAACAGCTCCACCTGGGAAGGGAAGGCAAATGACCACTCTGGCTGGGGCCTGACCATCAGAAATGGTTGCTGAGGTCTACGAACAGCACCCCACCAGCATTCAGATAAAGAAGAGGCCAAGGCGGAAGGCAACTGCTGCTCCATCTTATGAAACTAGGCTTACTTGCCGTTTCTGTGATCACATATGTGGCTCAAACATTGGCTGCATCGGCTATGAATGCAGCTGCCAGGGGTCCGTGTGAACCTCCAAATAGAGTTTATCCACTCCAGTCACCACCATCTGTTGTATGGGGCCACACGCAGTCTTGGTTTACAAAATGGATTTGGACCTTATTTCCCTAAAACAGCTGGTCCCTGGCATGCGTAGTCCAGCCGCAGTTGCAGTAGAGGTCTCTATCATCAAGATGAATCAAATCCAGAACTTGGCCTCCGCGCTTCCCAGAAAATTTTGAGCATCCCTCACTTACATGCATAAGCTTGAATATAGCGCGCGTGAGGTTTACTCAGAATTAACTGGGTAGGGCTGCCAAAGTTCCCAAGACTGGATTTGAATCACCGTGATGAAAGCGCCCTCTACCACAGCGGCGGCTTTATCGCGCTAGGGAAATAAAAAATCCGAATCCAGGCTTGGACCCAGACTACTGGCAACAGTGTTCAGTGGCCTCTTTATGGAATTCTCAGGCTACATGTATGAATCAACATGCGCATGTGCATGTGCATGGATATGTGTAGTTTTTTGTCAGCAAGTAAGATGTCAGGTGACATCTGTTTGAGTCTGAGTTGTTGTCAATTGGTCTCGTTTCTTGAGTCATAAGTCAGTACGTAAGTCCAAGTCTTACTTGTAAAGCTTAAAGAGACAGTATTATCAGACTGACATTTTAATCCTTGTTAACATAGGTCCTATAAAGTATATCCACTGCAGTATAGCTATAGTAATTTAGCTTTACTTGTGTATGTGCCGTAAATTTTCTGAATTAAAATTGACGTTTGTTGAAACAAGTGTTTCCTTCAGGAGCAAAAGGGTATTGCGTTGTATAAATTACAAAAAGGAATAAGGAAAAATATGAGGGTGTCCTTGTACAATATAATGTACATCTACATGCTGTTTTAGGCATCTATACAATACTGGTACACGTATGTACATGTACCTATTTGCAGAAATAGCAAAAAAAAAAGAGTCAGCGTGTCAAATTAGTTGCTGCTGTCTTGCAGACATATCTCCTCTTCAGGAATTGACGCACTTGCCAATGCACAATCAATTTTTGTTTATATATATACATACTTGTTAGTTGTACAGTCACCCATTTTATTTGACCCCGTAAGTCTGGCTTCTATCTTGAAGATGTTAGTTCACACAGTTGTACTTTACCATTATGTCTGAGGGCAAGGTGTTGTGTTTCTCTTTGTCCCTATAATATAAATCTCTCCCATAACTGAGCACACAAAACTTTAAGTTCGAAGGCCATTCTCAAAAAAAGATGTACGTGCGAGGACAACAAAGAATCTGTCGTTCTCTCATTGTCTTGCTGTCCTTGGGCTGTATGTAACAGGGTCATTCCACCGGGTTGGGAAACAGTGCATGTTGCATCCAAATATTTGGTTATATTATTAACATTTTCAGTGCATTCTAAACAATTGCTCAACATAATATTTGTCTTAGGGTGTTTCAATACTTGAGAAAGTTTGAAATCATTTGAATGTACTTTGACAAAAATATGAGCAAAAATGTATTAATTCGGATGTAACATCGACACCGTGTCAATGTTACATCCAAATATTCTTTATTTGCCATATTTTACAGGAAGGGAAAATATTAACCAAACTGACATTGCATATTTATAACTGGACACCTAATGCACCAAGAAAAGCTTTTGTTTTAATATAGTCAGGGTTCAAATATAGCAGAAACAATACCTTAATGTGGATGTAACGGTGTCAAAATCACTCAATGGAAGTGTGACATTTGGGGTTGACAAGGTGTCAATGTTACGTCTGCAACCAAGCTATCATTTCTGCTCCATTTGATACCCGACTACCATAACAAAAGCTTTTCTTAGTGTGTTGCATGTATAGTAAGAAGTACATGTACATAAAGTGAATTTGGGTAATGTTTTACAGAAATAAAAAAATAACATACAAATATATATAATATTTGGATGTAACATTGACACGGTGTCAATGATACTGAATTACATTTTTGCATTGATACATCATTACGGTCATTAGGCTGTGCTCAGAAAGAAAAAACATGGCCGATAACAGTTTTGGAGAAATGCACATCACATCTAGCATGAAGTTGACTGGAATTCCTTTGCTTAACTGGGTTTTGACTCCACAAATTGATAAACTTTGCTCTTTGAAATTTGATGTGATCCTAATATGTTCATGTCAGACAATGCATCGGCAATTTTCTATGGTTAAAAAAATGAAGATGTACAAATATCGTATTAATGAAGTTAAGAATTTCATTGAATATTGCCGTAGGCCTAATGCTGACATTTTGTTAAAACAAGCTGCAGTTTTTGTTCTTCCTCTGTTATTTCCCCAGTCGATAAAAACAGAATAAATTTTAACACTGGCAAGAAAAAATAAGTTGCAATTGGTATAAATCTGACAATAATTTATAAATCTGACAATTTTATGCAAGAAATTAAATGACAGTAACGCCATTTAAACCTCAAACGTAAACTGATGTATTGTAATTTCCTGACGTTAATGGTACGTTACTATTGTTCCGTGATAGTTTTTCCCACGTTTTTTGGCTAGAGACATTAGAATCACCAATCACAATGTATTGTAATTGTTTACACAAATGTAGCTGTGTCCACATACAATGTACGTGATGTTAGGGGAGAAACCTTTCAGGTGAAGTTTGCGCTTTTTAAAAGTTATAAAGCAGTAAAATGTGTACGGAAGGACCCATTCATGCCATTGCTCTGACCATGGAGGAAGGAATTCCTTCCTCCATGCTCTGACAACATGGTTTTCTTGTGTATATTCTGTACACTGATCACACATTTTGATCCCCACTGAACAGCAAGGCAATGCAAGTGAACATGATGAACTTGTACTCAAAATACAGGGTCCAATAGTGCTGAAATATAACGACATCACGCTTGGTTCACATGTGCGCTTTCTTATGGGAGCTTGGTGGCTCACGTTCCCAGCCGGTTCCCATTGGAAATCCCACATGTAAACAAAGTGTGACATCATTTATGCCTCAGATCTATTAAGTGGAGCTGCTGAGCACAAACAAATAGTTCCTTATTAAACAGGTTGCATTGGACGAAAACAAAAATCCATTGAAAGTGATCGTGTGAGGCAACTGGACACAAATTGTTATCACATAATGTATTATGTTTCCAAGAAACACTTGTAAAAAATGTGTTGGCACTGTAATATTAAATACCATGTATATATGTGTACAGATGATCTCATAGGGTTTTTGATATCTCAGTACAAGAATATTGTGTACATGTGTACAATATATACTAAGGCAGCGTCACTCAGCAGCAGAGTATTATATGTATAAATGCTAAAGTCTTAACAGTGAAAATGCTCCCATGTTGTAATTGAGTAGCGCTACCCAGTTTACCCAGCATACTCAATAGGGCTGTTCACACTATTGTCGCGCCTACCCATGTTAAAATCAAAACAGTTCCACCATTATAAGCGGAAGTGGGTCCCATCGAACATGGGAAAGCAGGGCGTACCATTCACACTTACACTGGTGTGTACGCGGGTCAGCTGTAGATTTGGGATTTTCTGCCCAGGTGGAGCCTCTCAACCCTGGTCCAGACCAGGGTTGGATTTTATCCTCGGGAGTACCGGACCCGTGTAGAAACTGTGTTGGATTCTTGCTAGTGTGAAAGGGGTTCCTGAAATCTCCAGTTTGGATCAGGTCCATCCACAGATCCTGTACACAAGGATAAACGACTCATCTGAGCTTATGTACAAAGTGTACGGAATGGTTTGTCTAGAGGCGTGATAACAGCCTGTGCGCGTATAGAACACACAATGCGTGCGCTTGCACGAGACTCGGCGCGTGCGCGCCCCACATGAAACCCAATCACGGGAGACTTGACAGAAATTCAGCTGCAGTTGCGTGCCGACTTTAGTCTCGTGCACGCGCATTGTATATTCTATACGCGCACAGGCCGTTATCACGCCTCTAACCAGACATTTTGGAAGTCGTTTATCCTTGTGTATAGGATCCGTGGTCCAACACAGAGAGAGTTTGGATAGTGTGATATGCCCAAGTTGCTACTCATTTATTGACTGTTAACTTTTAGATTCTAATCAGATGTGCATTCCACTTTTGTTGACATTGTCAATTAATGTTGCCAATAGAGTTTGCAAATTTTGTATGTGAATACATTGCATACATG